GGTTTTTGATTAGTGATTCAGTCTCCTTACTTTTTATTAGTCTGTTCGAATTTTCTCTTTCTTTATGAACTGGTCTTGGTTTTTAAAAATATTTTATTTTTTATTTATTTTTAGACAGAGTGGAAGGGAGGGAGAAAGAGAGGGAGAGAGATATCAATGTGTAGTTGCCTTGCACATGCCCCCCATGGGGAACCTGGCCTGCAGCCCAGGCATGTGTCCTGACTGGAAATCAAACCTGGGACCCTTTGGTCCATAGGCCTGCACTCATCCACTAAGCTACACCACACAGGGTGGTAGGTTGCATGTTTATAGAAATTTATTCATTTTCTTTAAGTTATTTAATTTGTTGTCATATATTCATTTACAATAGTCTCATTATTGTTTGTATTTCTGTGGTATCAAATTTAATGTCTTTTTAATTTCTGATTTTATTAATTTGACTCTTCTAAGTTTCTTAGTCTAGTCAGAGTTTTGTCAATATTGTCTATCTTTCAAAAAGTCAGCCCTTAATTTTGTTGATTATTTCTAATGTTTATTTGTATTTTATTGATTTCTGTTCAGATATTTATTTCCTTTCTTCTGCTAATTTTGAATTTAGTTCTTTTTTTCCAGTTTCTTGAAGTGTAACGTGTTATTTGAGATCTTTTTTCTTCATGTAGGCATTTGTTGTTATTAACTTCCCTCTTAGTACTTTTTGCTGCATCTCCCAAGTTTTTGTATTCTGTGTTTCCATATTCATTTGTTTCAAGATATATTTTTATTTCTCCTTAGATGTGTTCTTTGACCCATTAGTTATTAGAGTATGTTGTTTAATTTTTACCTATTTGTGAAATTTCTACCTGTTCTTCTGTAACTGGTTTCCAGTTTCATCCCACTATGGTCAGAAGAGATACTTGGTATGATTTCAGTCCTTCTTCAATTTGCTAAGACTTGTTTGTGATACAGCAAATGTTCTGTCCTGTATGATATTCTGTATATACTTGGAAGAATATGTATTCTGATGATTTTGAATAAAATATTCTTTAGATATCTGTTAGGTACATGTAGGCTGGAGTATAGTTAAAATTCATTGTGTTCATGTATGATTTTCTGTCTCATGATCTATTCATGGTTAAAAGTAGGGTTAAAGTCTCCTATTATTGTACTGTTGCCTATTTCTCCCTTCAGATATATTGGTATTTGCTTATTATTTAGATGCTCCCATATTGGGTGTGGGTGCATATATATTTATTACTGTTGTATTTTCTTAATGATTTGACCACTATTATTTTCTTTTTAAAAATACTTTTTAATTTATTTTTAGAGAGAGGGGCGGAAGGGGTGAAAGAGAGGGAGAGAAACATCAGTGTGAGAGAGAAATATGTATCAGTTGCCTCTCATACACACTCCTACCAGGGACTGACTCTGCAACACAGGCATGTGCCCTCAGCAGGAATCAAACTGGCAACCTTTTACTTTGCAGGATGATGACCCAACCAACTGAGCCACATTGTTCAGGGCCACTTTATCATTTTCTAATGACCTTATTTTTGTTGCTGGTTAATGTTTCTTGTTTGTCTTAGTCTATATTGTCCAGTATAGGTGTAACTACCACTGCTCTTATTTATTTTCCTCTTGCATGGAATATCTTTTACCATCCTTTCAGTTTGTGCCTGTGTATATACTTTAAGCTAAAGTGAGTCTCTTGTCGACAGCATATAGTTGGATCTTCTTTTTTATCCATTGATCCACTTTATACCTTTTGAGTAGAAAATCTAATCAGTTTACATTTTGAGTAATTATTGATGGGTAAGGACTTACTCCTGCTATCTTATTCATTGTTTTCTGGCTGTTTTATAGGTCCCTTAAAGTTTTGCATTGAAGTAACAGTCTCATTCTCCAGTTGTTTTTTTTTAAGATTTTATTTATTTATCTTTAGAGGGGAAGGGAAGGAGAGAGGGAGAGAAACATCAATGTATGGTTGCCTTTCGTGCGTCCCCTGCTGGGAACTGGCCTGCAGGGAACCTGCCTGCAACCCTGGCATGTGCCCTGACTGGGAATCGAATCTCCAGTTTTTACTAACTACTTTCAGGAAAGAAATAACTTTCATCAGCCCTGCTAGGGATTCTGAGGTTTTCTCAGGCCATTTATGGCTATACCCACTCCACTCTTCTTGCTCTCTCTTGGCAGAATTCTTAAGCTTGTATTCCTTCTCTTGACCTTGCAACACACTACACAAAATGCTTGCTTAGAGCCTCTCTTTTGTTTTCCCAAAGGCAGTGCTAAAGCTCATGTCTGTGATCTCCCCCTTGCCTGTAGATTCAGGCTGGCTCTCTGCACATGCTCACTAGTCATCTGCCAAAGTTCACTCCACCACCACCAGGAGCATGAACAGGGAGTCAGTTACAAGGTCCGGGTGTGTGTGGGTGAGGCCTGCAAATCTCTGAGGTGCCTGTGAGCATTTGGGGGAATCTATAGGCAAAGCATTCCCAGAAGCCCATGGACAGGCTTCTTGGAGTCTGCAATACAGTTAGTAGGATCTGTGTCCCTTTAATGCTCAGCAAAAGTCTCCAAGACTTTCTTCCCCCATTATTAAGCTCAGAATTCAGCCCTCTGGATGGGACAAGAGAGAAATCAGCCTATTGGGCACTATCCTGCACAGCTAGGATGCCAGATGCTCATTTGCTATGAGATGAGCTCATGGGCCCAGAGGATCTCTCATGTCCCTAATTTATGCTACTCTGACAGAGAGGTGATATGAGTCAAGTCAAACTGTTTCTCTTACTATTTCTGATGAGTCAAAACAATTTTTACTCCAGTGGTGAACTAGAACTTTTCTTCTGTAGACCTGTCATTCATGGGTGATTGTCTGAGACAGTTTTTTTCCAGGAGCTTCTGGACCATGGCCAAGAGGGACTAGAGTTGGTTCATGACCTCCTGCAGGGTCCAGAGCTGGGACTAAGGTCTGTATACCTATTATCCAATACATGGTTGAGCGAAACTCTTTCTGAGCCCCTTGGTATGTGGTGCTGGATCCCACAGCTCCCACAAAGGCACTTTTGTCCATGGATGGATGCCAAATTGTTGGTGTAGGAGAGGGGAAAACTAATAAAGGATGTCTTATTCAGCCATAATTGACTTTGGTTTCTTAAACCTGTTTATTTCAAAGGCCTAATCTTCAGCAGAAAAGGGTTCCAAAAGATGATTTACTGTTAGTCCACAGCCTACTCCAGACCCTGTTAGTGAATGTTTATGTTCATAGTATCCTTTTAGGACCTAGAAATAAATTCTTAGAAACAATGATTGTGAATTAGCTCCTGATTTCTTTTTTTATTTATTTCTTTAATTCTCACCTGAGGATATGTTTATTGATTTTTAGAGAGATAGAGGGAAGGAGACAGAAGGAGAACCATCGATGTGAGAGAGAGAAACATTGATTGGTTGCCTCTTGTACAAGCCCCAATTGGTGATCAAACCCTCAACCCAGGCGTGTTCCCGACTACAAACTGAACTTGCAGACCTTTGGTTCATGGGATGATGCTCCAAACAACTGAGCCACCTGGCCAAGGCTTTTGGTGCTTTCTTTTTATCTTACCCATCACTCATAAAAATTCCTAAAAGGGCAGGAAATATGGATAGCCTCCTTCGTTCTAGTGCTGTTGAAGATTTTTTGGTTATATTTCTTTGACCAGTTCAGTTTTTAATGAGAAAAAATATGTAATATTTCTCATATTTAATTCACATCACTTTCAAGAAATTTTTCAGCAGCATCTCATTTCTGAAACTTATTCAAAGCTCTTTCTTAATCATCTTTTCTCTTAGTTCTACATATAATTTTAGTTCAGAGCATGAGAAAAACTTCATGAGTTTTTCCTTCGTGGTATTTGTGTGATTCTGTCTGTAGCTCTCTTTTTTCAATGTATGTGAACTCTGAGCAATCATAGCCTATTTTCATAGCTTCAGACACTTAGTATAAGCTAATGAACATTCCTCATTTCATTCTAGGTTTCTCCTGATCTAAAGAACAATATGTTCAACAATATGTCAATGTATACCTTTAGTTGTGATACTGAACCAGACTAGAACCACTTGGTTTCTTGTCTCCTTAAATAAAATAATTTATTTCAGGGATACCAGTAATGAAAGTAATATTTATTTCAACTCCGCAGAGGGCAGAAACTGCATGTCAGAACCAGTCAGTAATGCCTAGGTGAGAGAAAAAGAGGTTTTACAGGCTTTTTGGATTCTGCTGGGTTTTGAGTTTCTGTTAGCCTATAGGGTCTAACAAAAGGGTTCTTTGTCTTTATTTGACAGCTAGTGATATTGATAGCTTGATTTCAGCCAGTTTTTGCTCAGCCGGTGTTCTGTTCTGTTTTCTTTCTCCATGGGAGTGTTGAACACAGAATACTTGCAATTTCATATCCTTCTCTCTTGGCCCTTGGTTCTGTAACTAGAACTTAGCAGAGAGATTATTATTCTTACATCTTCCCTTTCTGGCCCTAGGTTTAGGTTCTATGCATACCTTATTAATGTTCTACTGTGCCTGACAAGGTGTTTGTCATGGTCTCCAAGGTAGTTGTCAAGGCCTCCAATTCTATTTCAGTTGGATGTTCTACCATACCACAAATTTTGCATATCCTTCTCTCCCTGCTTCTGTTCCATCCAGATCCTGACTTCATATTGTTTCCTGCCTCACTGAATCACAGACATCTAGAGAATCCCCAAATCAATTACATTGAATAAAGTTTTATATTTGCACATCTTCCACACTCAGTGTAAATTGGTGCCCAAGACCTCTTTAACCCATGGTGGTTATTAAAGATATGTGCTTACTAATTCAGTGAGTGAACATAACCTGACAAGATATTGCTAATGAAATGTTTTCCTTTTAGAAATTTTTTAAAAAGAGGTAAATTTTTATACCTCTTACCTGTGCATACCATGAGAACCCAGTTCAGTATGTTTTTTCCACATCATCTAAGATGGATGAATTCAAATTGAGTAGAAGTGTGTTGTTACAGGGAACAGTGACATTCAAAGATGTGGCTATTGACTTCACCCAGGAAGAGTGGCAGCAGTTGGATTCTGCTCAGAGGAACCTATACTGGAATGTGATGCTAGAAAACTATAACAACTTAATCACAGTGGGTAAGGGTAGTTTATTGTACAACCCAAATTCTTGGAGTAAAGTTGCTTTTTCCTCCCAAGTTTCTGAGGTGTAGAAACCTTCAAGTGTTCAATTGAATTTAGCTTTTAGATGCCATTATTCATGTGAATGTGCATGCTGCCACTTTCAGGACAGAAGGTCCCTTTTGGTTATGACTCTGGGAGGGGGCATCATCCCCAGAAACCACACTTTTCTTGTCCTTCAGAAAACCTCGTTTCCCTGGGACAGCCTAAATTCTCGAATAATTCTTTGTTATAGTAGTTATGCCTAAATCATGTGTCATTTTCCTTTGACAGGCTGTCCATTCACCAAACCTTATGTGATTTTTAAGTTGGAGCAAGAAGAAGAACCATGGGCTGTGGAGGAGAAAGAAGTGTTAAGGAGACACTGTCCAGGTTAGTGGGAGGGAACCAGATAGGTGAGAAGAGGCCAGGACCTTTGAATAATTAATACATGAATAGTTGATTCCTCTAAAGTGCTCTTCAAAATATTTTCCTAAAGACTGCGCTTTGATAGTGACAATTGGTTTGAATTTTTTTAAAACCTAGGTAGGATTCTTAACTTCTTTTCTCAGAAGTTGTTTTCAAGAAACTTAAAAGACCAGTTAGCCTTTTTACCTGGATGTTAGATATCAATATTTCATAATTCATTTCCAGCTTTAATTTAATAATCGTTCTGGTTTTGACATCTCCAGTGTCTCTGCTCACCTTTTTATATAGGATCCTTTCTTTTTGTGTTCAGATATTCATGGAATACAGTTGTTCAAATAGACCTGTTAACATTTACTTTCTAATTTCTTTTGTTCCTCCATTGTAAATGCCCTAACATCATATTTTGTACCCATAATCATACCACTGTATTGTTAGCTTTTGCTCTCATACTTCAATAATAGCTACATTTTACTTCAAGAAAAGTCTTAAAGATATTGATACTTTTCAGTTTGCTCACACCATCTGCTACATTTGTCTTGTATACATATGCTTATATTCCTGTGTGTATATGTGTGATGTGTGTATACACATACAAGATCTGTCTGGAAAAAATCCAACCATTGTTAATGTAATGAGAATGGTTTGCATGACATCATTGTAACCTGGCAGCCAAGGAGAGTGGACTGGAATGCGCATGCGTGAATAGTGACAACTCCACTGTACTAGTCAGTGGGGGTGGTATGCTGTTCAGAGAGCATGTTTACGATGTGGCTGTCACATTCAAAATGATTGAGTGAGTAGAACAATGAATCTGCATCAAATTTTGCATTAAGCTTGAACATTCCTCTGCAGAAACTATTCCAATGATTTAGAAGGCCTCAGCTATGAGCAAATGGTGATTGGCAGCTTCATCATGGCAGCATGTCTGCTTTTGCATCACATCTCATGGAGAGATTTATTGTAAAACATCAAAGCACCCAGGTGATTCAGATGCCCTACAGCCCAGATTTGTTGCCCTGTGGCTTCTGGTTTTTCCCAAAAGTAAAATCACCTTTGAAAGGGAAGAAAGAAGATTCGATGAGTTCTCTGTGGAAACACTACAGTCCAGAAGGGAATGGCAAGAAATATTCCAAGTAACAAATACAGAAGACCTGCAACCAAGACTACTCTATCCAGCAAGGCTCTCAATTAAGATGTTAGGTTAAATAAAGAGTTTCCCAGGCAAAAGAAGATTGAAGGAATACAACTACACCAAACCAGGACTGCAAGATATGCTACAGGCTCTGCGTTAAGAAAAGGAAGAAAAAGAGAGAGAGAGGAGCGTAGGTACAAAGGAAGCAAAATGGCAATGAATAAGTACCTAGAAATAATAACCTTAAATGTAAATGGATTAAATGCTCCAATCTAAAGCCATAGAGTAGCTGCATGGATAAGGAATCATGACCTGCAGATATGCTGTCTATAAGAGACCCACCTCAGAACAAAAGACCTATACAGACTGAAAATGAAGGGTTGTAAAAAAATATTCCAAGGAAATGGACAGGGGAAAAAAAGCCAGAGTAGCAATACTCCTATCAGACAAAACAGACATCAAAACAAGAACTATCAGAAAAGACCCAGAGGACTTCATAATACTCAAGGGAAGAATCTATCAAGAACACAAAATAAACATATAAGCATCCAGCACAGGACCACACCAATGTATAAGGAAAAATCTTAGAGGACAGTGCCCTACATCAAATGTACTTAACTGATACATATAGAACTTTTCATCCCAAAGAAACAAAATACACATTCTTTTCAAATGCACATGGAACATTTTCAAAGATAGACCACATGATAGGACACAAAACAAGCCTCAACAAATTCAAGAAAAGGGAAATCATATCAAGAATTTTTTCATACCATGAGGGACTGAAACTGAAAACCCACCTCAAAGAAAAAAACTCAAAAATATTCAAGTTCATGGAGATCAAATATCATGGTAGTAAACAATGAATGGGTCAAGAATGAGATCAAGGAGGAAATCAAAAAGGTTCTGGAAACAAATGAAAATGAACTCGTAACAGTTCAAAGCTTATGGGATACAGTGAAAGCAGTCCTGAGAGGGATGTTTGTAGTGATACAGGCCTACCTAAAACAAATAGAAATGTTTCAAATAAACAACCTAACCCTACATCTACAAGAACTGGAGGAACAACAACAAAGACAACCCAAAACAAGTAGAAGAAGAAAATAACCAATCTCAGAGCAAAATTAAGTGACATGGAGACTAAGAGAACAATTTTAAGGCTCAATAAATACAGGAGTTGGTTCTTTGAAAAGATAAACAAAAATCAACAAGCCTTTAAGCAGACTCATCAAGAAAAAAAGAGAGAACCCAAATAAAAACAATCAGAAATGGAAGGGGATTGTAATAAACTACAACAAAGAACTATATGCCAAGAAATTTGAAAACATAGGTGAAATGGACAAATTTCTAGGAAAATGTGATCTTTCAAAACTGAATAAAGCAGAAGCAGAAAGCCTGAACAGACCAATAATAGCTAGTGAAATTGAAAGAGTAATCAAAAATCACCCAGCACACAAAAGCCCTAGCAGATGTTTTCACACAGAATGTTAAAAAACACTAAAGGAAGAGCTAACCCCTATCCTTCTCAGATTATTCCAGAAATCCAAGAAGGAGGAAACTCCCAAACTCTTTTTATGAAGCCAGCTTTATCCTAATCCCCAAACCAGATAAAGACACAAGAAAAAAAGAAAACTGCAGACCAATATCTCTGATGAATATAGATGCTAAAATCCTGGACAAAATATTGGCAAACCACATCCAGCAATACATTAAAAGGATCACACACCATGATGAAGTGGGACTCATATTAGGGATGCCAGGATGGTACAATATGCACAAATCAATAACCATAATTCATCACATAAAATAAAAACAAAAGTCATATGATCATATCAACAAATGTGGAAAAAGCATTTGATAAGGTATAGTTCCCATTTATGATAGAAACACTCAGCAAAGTGGGAATACAAGGAGCATTCTTCAGCACAATGAAGCCCATATAATGAGACCTACAGCCAACATCATACTCAATTGGCAAAAACTAAAAGCTTTCTCACTAAGATCAGAAACAAGACAAGGTTGTCCACTTTCACCACTTCTATTCAACATAGTATTAGAAGTCCTAGACACAGCAATCAGACAAGAAAGAGAAACAAAAGTCATCTAAATTGTAAAGTAGGAAGCAAAACTGTCATTGTTTGCAGGTGACATGATGTACATAGAAAATCCTATAGACTCCACCAAACAACTACTCTACCTAATAAGTGAGTTTGGCAAAACAGCAGGATACAAAGTCAATATTCAGAAATCAAAGGCATTTTTGTACACCAACAATAAAATATCAGAAACAGAAATCAGGGTGGGGAGGAATTCCATTTGATATAGCAACAAGAAAATAAAGTACCTATGCATAAACCTAACCAAGGAGGTAATAGACTCAGAAAACTATACAACACTGAAGATAGAAATAAGGAAGACACAAACATATGAAAACATGTAACATGTTCATGGATTGGAGGAATTAATATCATCAAAATGTCCACACTACCCAAAGCAATTAATAGATTCAACACAATGCCTATTAATATACCAGTGGCATATTTTACAGATATAGAATAAACACTTCAAAAATTCATATGGAACCATAAACAGACCCAAATACACACAGCAATTTTCAAAACAAAGAACAAAGTAGGAGGGATCATAATACCTGACATCAAAGTGTATTACAAAGACATTGTAATCAAAGCAGCTTGGTACTAGCATAAGAATAGACACATGAACCAGTGGAACAGAATAGGGACCTCAGAAATGAACCCAAGTGTTTACAGTCAATTAATATTCAACAAGGAAAAGCTGCATAAAATGGAGCAAAAGTAGCCTCTTCAACAAATGATGTTGGGAGACCTGGACAGCTACATGGAAAGAAAAAAATGAAACAAAAGAAAACAACCTCAATCACCAACTTTCATTGTTCAGAAAAATTAATTTAAGGTAGATAAAAGACTTAAATATAAGTCATGACACCATAAAAGTCCTAGAGGAGAAAATAAAGGAGAAAAATCTCAGATATTCCATGCAGCAATGTTTCCACCAGTATGTCCCCTAGAGCAAGGGACATAAAGGAAAGACTAAACAAATGGGATCTCATCAAAATAAAAAGCTTCTGCACAGCTAAAGAAAACAGCATTAAAATGAAAAGAGAACTAACCATATGGGAAAACATTTTTGCCAATGTTACCTCAGACAAGGGTTTGATCTCCAAAATATATAAAGAACTCACAGAACTCCATTCCAGGAAGACAAAGAACCCAATTATAAAATGGGCAAAGGACTGGAACAGACACTTCTCCAAGGAGGACATACAGAGGACCCAGAGATATATGAAAATATGCTTGGCATCACTACCCATCAGAGAGATGCAAATGAAAACCACAATGAGATACCACTTTACATCTATTAGAATGGCCATTATAAACAAAGCAACAAACAACAAATGGTGGAGATGATGTGGAGAAAAGGGAACCCTAGTTCATTTTTGGTGGGAATGCAGGCTGATACAGCCACTGTGGAAAAGAGTATGGAATTTCCTCAGAAAACTATAAATGGAATTGCCTTTTGACCCCAAAATACCACTGATGGGATTATACCCTAAGAATCCCAAAACATCAATTCAAAAGAACGAACCTATGCACCCCAATGTTCATAGCAGCACAATTTACAATAGCTAAGTGCTGGAAGCAATCTAAGTGCCCATCAGTAAATGAATTGATCAAAACACTATGGTACATTTACATGATAGAATACTATGCAGCAGAAAGAAAGAAGGAGTTCCTCCCCTTTGTGACAGTACGGATGGAGATGGAGAGCATTACACTAAATGAAATAAGGC